CCTTAATGATTCTGTGATTCTGTGAAATACGAAAGACTAAAAGAAATGCAACCAGCTTCTGATTCACTGGGAACACTGGCAGCAGCAGTGGGGGTGGGGAGTGAGGGGCAAAGAAAAAAAAAAAAAAAAAAAAATCAGTATTTGCCAGCCATAAAACCGGTAACCCAAACCAACAGAGAGATAAGGTTCCTAACAGACATTTCAAAGAACTGAGGAAAAAAAAAAAAAATAGTAATAGTCACTTACATCTCTGCCATGGTTTTCGTCAAGTTGTTATAAATATTAAGCTAAACTTTGTACTAACATTGTATTATGTATTAATATACAAAAAAAGTCTAAAACCATGGGGTTAAAATTCTAACACAACTTGAAAAAAATGGGCACATCACAAAGTGAAATATGAATTTAGAGTATATCTGGAATGTAAGTTACACTGTCATGCCAGGTGGTACACTAAGCTTTCTCTTGCTGCCAGCTGATCATCCTGGCACCTGATTGCCCGAAGAAGCATTGCTTATGTGTCAACATAATTAAGTCACTGTATCTTTGGGAAGTACAGATTCAAGCTAAACATAAATAGAAAAATAAAACATACCTTCACTGTACGTCTGAGTGTTAACAGCACATCTATTCTCTCATCTTTTGGGATGTCATTCATGCTAATGCTGCGGTAAATTTCAAATAGTTCTCTGGCACGGAGTGTGTCCTGTGTATCCATTTCAGTGATTTTTCCATCATATGCTTTCCATCTCTTAGGTTGTGCACACTTCAGAAACAATTTGTATAACTGAGCTATTATAACCTGATCAGCAGCTGAACAAGAGCATTATGTTACATCAAGTTTCACCAAAGCAAATAGGGACTTAACATTAATGCTTGACTAATACAAAGGCAAATTCTATTGTCGATATTTATACAGTACCTTTTCCACCAGACCAAGTGTTCAATCGCACACTTTGTTTAAAGTTGCAGGTCATGAAAATTTTGACTTGGAGTATATTAAAAGTAAATAATATTCTCCTACAGGGATATGCTCTACTTCTTTAAAATGAATTTACTAACAGTAGTGTTAGAATACATTTGCTCTGTATTTCATCTTGCAGTCATAAATCCCTCTAAACTACCAGTAAAAAAATCAATGGGACTGTTGACTGTGTAAAGATTGCAAATTCAAGGCCTCAGAGTCTACTGCAGTACGAAATATCTCCAGGGAACTGTTCTATTGATGCTAGCTATACAGATGGATAGAATGCACAGACTTTGTTAAACCTGACTAAGGCAGAGTATGAGTTTACAGCTTATCGGATACTTCACCTATCTTCTTGTTTGCTAACTTAACCACATACCAGATGCCTGCTATTTCAATTGTCTCTTTGCCTGTCTTTAACTTCTATAGACAGTGAGAAGTTACATGGTGTCAGCTCAGTTTGAAAAGTCCAACCATTCTCCTCTTTCAAGAGGACTGGCTTTGGTTGCAAACCACACTGTTACATAGGGAGATAGGTATCGAAATTCAATAGAAAGATAGTATTCAAAACCCTCTCCCCATCATTACCTAACTCCACTCCCTTTCCTTAATTGCGGCAGCTATTTGGAACCTCATTCTGTGCATGAATTATTCTCTTTCACTGTATTTGGAACTTGAGCGTTCACAAACACTTGTGAACTTCACTTTGCAGTCTCAGTGCGAGTTAACTACAGCAACACTTCACGCAGCATTCACATGCCTAGTAGTTTTCTGGCTATGACCCCAGCATTGACGTAATCATTTCAAATCAAGCCAAATATACAGGCTTGCTATGGCGATAAGTCATAAAAATACCAAGAATATTAGACAGTTAGAACAGATATGATTAGTCACCACCACAATCAAAAACAGAGCTTTCCTCACTTTTAAATAAATAAATTATAAAGTTAGGTAAGCAAAAGAAAGACAAAATAATTGAAAAAAGGATTTAACACTGAATAATTACATTATCAGTGGGGGTGGAACTGTAATTAAAGGAGGTATTGTTAATCAGAGGTCACAATTCAGAGCCAAAACTGATTAAGAAATGCAATAGCAAAACCAGACATTAGTAAAAAATAAAACTCTTAATTCCTTAGTGAAATCTTTGAACTTCTGCAAAACTAGAAAGAGGCAGTTTTCTCTGTCGTAAAAAGGGAGCATTCTACTGTAACTTCATTACTTTGTTTCATTATCTTTGTATAGTACTAGAAATTCTAAAAAAACCCAAAAAAGCCAAGCAAACAACAAAAGAACCCCCACCAACTTAGAAGCTATATCATGCTGTAACTCCTTTGTATGGTAGACTGGCAAAAAATCACCATTTTCCACAGAGTAGTTAATTCAGTACCTACATTTGATCCTCTTCAATGAAATCACTTACTACCTCATCATAACTGGGTATTACATAAAAGACAATAATTTAAAAAGAAAGAAATTATGCAGCTTTTTACTGAAAAACAAATACAGAGGTCTTATCAATACGAAGATTTCCAGTATTTCAGAAAGAATCACAAGCTCTCTGATTTCAGGACTATTTTCATGTATTCAAGATTAACGTGAGAGAACTAAAACTTGGAGATTTTTTGCCAGCTTTTTCTTGCCTCTTAGTCTGCTGGCAGTGCTGCAGAATTTACAATAATCCTGTTATCTGTATTACTTCAGACAGCACTATATATATACTATATATATATATACACACACACACACTGTAACTGCACTCTGCTGCCAATGCATGAAAGCAGAAAGAAGCACCTGAGGAGAGAGATACACCACCACAGACACAGAGGGAAAAAGGTAAGAAAATAATAAAAGTAAAAAAAAAAAAAAAAAAAATCATCAATGGAATGGGTACAAAAATAGCACAAATCATGAAAGGTATGAACTGAGCGATAGTTAATAATTACACAAATTCCTTTAAGAAAATATGATTGCTGTGTAAAAGCTTAATCAAGTACTTCCTCTTCAAAATACAAATGCTGAAGAAGAATGAGCTCAGTGGAAAAAAGAGCCCCCTAGAATGTAGTGCACACACAACCAGTAGCAACCATTGTAAAAGCACACGTGTGAGGAGGTACATGCTTAAAGTAGCAAAGAAGGGAATGAAGGTTTCCATGGAGAAGCAAGTTTTGTATCACATTGGCTATTGCAGCAAAGTGAAATGCTTGCAGTCTTCAGATGTGAAAGGTGTTATTTCAACTTTAACTGGCAAGTGTCCGGATTAACATTATCAGCTCAAAGTTCAAGAAATAACTGAATAATCTATGATCTAGCACTCCAACAATAAATTTCATACTACAGTTTGAAGTGTTGAAATTGCACTGTTACAGTCATAACAAACCATCCATTTAATTTTGAGATTTCCAAACTTATTTTTTATTTATTTTATTTTTTAACAACTGCAGAAATTGTTACTTTCTTTACCTCTGAGTTAGGCTGCTATCTATGTCAACAGATTAGAACAACGCTCAAAACCCTATAGCTGACATGATTAAAAAAACATGAAAAGAAAAAGTTGCAGTAGCTCAGAAGCTCACTAGATTTTCAAATTAAAAATAAACCAGTCTCTTTAATGAAAAACATAATTTATAAATTTAAAATATGAATAAATAAATCAGTAGTAAGTGCTTCAGAAACATGTCCACTGTTTGGAAAGAGAGAGCATCTCTTGCCTCTCATGTGTCTCCTGAATCTCCAAACATCAATTGTCACTAAGAATTCTGGTACTGAAGAACATTTTGCTTCTGATTCCTAGATGTAAGAAAACTGTACAACTTGTGAGAATATATACTGGAAGTAATCTATATACGGTAGGTCATTGGAAAGCAGTCCTTAAAGGAAAAATAAAGATAGAGAGTCAGTTAAAAGAGAAATATTTGCTTTGACTGTTCCAGGCTTTTTTTCCTGAGAAGATAACAGAATAGATTGTAAATAGTAGAAGCAAACATTTAACACAGAAATGATTCAAGGTTTTGATATCATTCCTAAATATTTAGTTTTCTGGTTTTTTGCACTCTTGAAAGCAGTAACGGAAAATACAATCACATCACAGCAATAAGCTTGGTAACAGTTCCACCAACATTTCAGATAAGTTATTTGTTCATAATGAAGAAAGGTAATAGATTTTATCAAATCACTTTTTACAGTCCAGTTCCCATACATCAGTAATAAAAAGAATGAAAAAAAGTCTCTTTTGGACAAAACTGCCATTTTTACTTTTGAACACTAAATAGTCAAAATTAAAAAAAAAAAAAAAGTAAAAAAGCTATTTCTGTTGTAGTATTTCTTTTCATAATTATGTCACATACCATGAAAACAGCCAGAAAATAAACTATTTGGTTTTTTTCTGAGAGGATGGATTACTGGGAAGTCCTCTTAAAAGGACTTTTTTTTGTCTTTTACATTAAGGTGCCATTGAATCTAATGCCATTCTAAATGATCTTTGTGTATGAATGAATTCTCATCTTTGTTTTATAGATGAATGCCAAAAGAACAATTGCATTAAATTTCATCTCCAAGATTACACAAGAATAAAATCTCAAGTTCTAACGCAACTGAAACTAGTGAATTAATAACTGAGTTCAATATGATATAAGATTCAGTCAAAGCTCTTCCGGGTTTCTGTCCTGTACATGAGAACAGAATAAATGCTTTCTTTAAAGACAGACATATGATGACCAGAGGCCTGTGCTCAATGGGGAAATAAGTGACAAATCTAGTTCCTGAAGGGTAACATTTCTGAGGGAAGAATTAAAATAAAAGAATAAATTAATCCATTCTGCAGGGTTAAAGTTTAATTTTACAAATACTTGCTTAAACGTTTGCATTTAAGTTTAAATGCAATAGCAAACTTTTCACTATAGAAAATAATGAACAGAACATACCAGAGGAAAAATCACTTAGTCATTAAGGAAGACATTTTTTACAATGAGAGTGCTGAAACACTGGAACAGCTTACCCAGTGAGGTTGTAGATGCCCATCCTGGAAACATTCAAGGTCAGGTTGGACGGGCCTCTGAGCCACCTGATCTAGTTGAAGATGTCCCTGTTCCTTGCATGTGGTTGGACTAGATGACCTTCAAAGGTCCCTTCCAATCCAAACTATTCTATGATTCTATGATTAGTTTTGATTAGTGAAACTGAGTATTTTTGAAAGAGAAGCTAATAGGCAGATTTTTAAAGTTTCAAAAACAGATTAGGAAAGAGCATAGCTTCATGCACGAATTCCTACATCACTGTAATGCACACAATACAAAATATAGAATGGTATGCAATATCCTGATGCTTTATAACCTCAAATTAACCATTCTGAATTGTCAGAATTTGAGCTTTTAATGCTGTTAACAGTGCCATCAGAATCATGTTTTTTTTACGCAGAATAGTTACATAATACAAAATTCTTCCACTAGTGCTGTTTTTTTATATTATATATACACACCTGAGACTAACCATAGACACAGGTAGTTAGTAGTCTTAATGATGCACTGTTAGTCCTTCCATCAGTCACAGAACTAAGAAATTCTCAGCTTGGAAAAAGAAATTTACTGAACTGTATTGACATGGACAACTAGATAATTTGGATATTTATAACATTAGCATTCACATGATTAATGGTTAAAGCTACAAAAATGACTTTTGGCAGGTAGTTTGCAGATGTCTTTGCTGTTCCTGTACTTTGGTATTCTTTATATTCAGCCTAAAATTACATCACTGACCTTATCCAGAAAGTGCAGTATTGCTTTTTGTTGATTCCCCTCATCTGCATTTAGTTTGTGTCTCCCAATGGAAGAAATCAGCTGTGCCTCTTGTTCCAGAAGTCCACAAAATGCTGCCTTTCTTTCAGCTCCAGTAAGAGTTCTGTTAATCCGTTCAGTCTCCTCCTGCCTCCATACTATAGATACAAATATTTTGGGTATTTTTTACAAGATGTTTTCCAGTGAAACTTCTACTTTTATATTTAAGAAATAATGTAATTAATTTTCAGTATCATTAAAAGCCAGTTTCTATGTTAGGGAATTGATTGTTACGCATATTTTCAATACACGCAAAATGGCCCAGAAATGAATGTAAATTATACAGATGTTGTGTGAGAGTATGTGTGTGTACATCAATCCCAAACTGCCAATTCGTACTCCAAACTCAACGATGGGTTAGGAGAAAAAGGAGCTCTATGTGAGAAAAAGAATTTAGCTTCCATGGAAACGTGTGATGAAAAGATTTCTTCACAATTTTGCATCTACAATAACTGTTTGAGACTCAAGCAGCTCCAAAAGGTATGAGCAATAGGAACTTTTTAAACAATTGCTCATCAAAGTCACAAGAAAAGATACCATGGAGATCTTCTCAACAGATTAAGGACAGCATCTTACTGTGGTAGCACTAGTACTCAGTGCTGAGAATATTACTGCTTCTCCCTGCATAAGTGAGTAAAATCTAAAGAAGCTTGAAGTCCTCCAAAACTGAGATAAAACTTGACTGACAGTCACGTTTAGCACTCCAGGTTTTACACTGAATATTTGAGTAGTATCATCTTTTGCCATCTAAGGCGGATGGATGCGCATTAATAATTAGACAGTCATTGCTTTACTCTCCCCTTCCTCTTCTACAACAGAACCCTTCAAGTGGAAGTGGCATGCAAACCACAAGATAATAATGACAGCAGCATGTGAATCAGTACATGCTGTATAAGAATCTGGTGTTCTGACTCTTAGGGTCAAATCACCAAACCACAGGTACCTGCTGCACTTACAATTGTAAGTTAGACTACTTAATGACAGAAAAATATAGATGTATACATATGTGTCTATCATGGTTTATTTTGTAGTACCCATTTTTTGACTCCAAGTGCTGATACACAGACTATATGCCCTTACAGAAATCTGTTAGTAAAATGAAATTGTGTTTACTGAATAGTGTTTTCCTTTGCATACATTGTAACAATTCTTGGCTTTTCTGAAGAGTCTGTTCCATTTCAAATACATCTGGAGTTTTGTAGGGAATTTTATCTGATCCGACACTTCAACATTCCTGAATAATATCTCAAAGTGTTGTTATTGTTCCAGAACAGTTATGCAAAAGCAAAACTCAACGTAAAGAAAACAATCCAGTAAGTGATGCGCACTTACTGAAAAAGCCTGTAACATCCTCTATGAGGTAAGATTAGAGGCAGGAGGAGGGAAAGGAAGAAAGTTTATTTTCTGCCTGTGGCTTTCTTATCTACAATACCTTATGTTTTCCATTTTAAAATATTTCAATTCATTTCCTTAAGGCTTTCCAAGCGTTGGTATTAATATGACAGCTGTCTAACAAGTTCTGAGTACCCAAAGATGCATTTTTAAATAAAGTCATTTCAGCAAACAAAAGCACTGTATAGAATTAATTTACATGAAATTTTATATGCCTGAAGGGGGCAGCAACTTCAAAGGTAGAGCTAATAAATACAGTAAGCAATTTTGTACTTACAGAAATGAAGAAGCTGTCAGTTATCATCAATACTCACCTCCTGATTCACCACACACATGCAATCAAGTTAAAAACATTCCTCTTAGATTATCTGTTCTACAGAGATTTTACTCATTATAATTTTTATTCCAGTTTTCATAAAACAAAGTAGTTCATGCTTTTCAAATAAATAATCGATGTCTCTATATGCAGATACACTGAATATACAGATACATCTCATTTGCACCATACAGTCAACAGGCAAGTTTTGGTACCAACAGGAATTGCTTGTACTGGCTGACCCTGTAATAGTATCCCCCTGTTGTGATCAGCAGCGATAACCTTCACAGATCTCTAGAGGACAATAGTCTCATTCTATTACTGTCACAATGATTTAGCTTGTGTAGACTGTTGACACTACAAGAATGTAAAAGTAGTTTCAGATGCAGGTAGAAAAAAAACCCACCAACTTCCTAGAACCACTAAGCTCTATTAAAATAAAGAGCATGACTGCAAGTCTCCATGTAGTCAACACTGGTAAACAAAAACAAACCAAAAAGATTAATACCAGACCACTATTTTTAACTAAACGTTAAAAAGACATTTCAAACACTGGAGTTTGTTCTGTTCCAGTTTTGAAGTGGCACATGCTTTTTCAGGTTGACTAGATATTAAATTCCTGAACATGTAAAGCTGAAAGATTTATTATTTGTGAATCCAATGACATTAAATTAAGCAAAAGAGACACTTATATAACCACAAATTTTAAATCTAAAAATATAGGGAATATCAGCACTTATTCACAACTTTAACTGAGCTTTGTTGTTTCTATTGCAAATAAGACTCATCACACTTACTTTAAAAAAAAGTAGATCATACATTTGATAGAACATTAGCTAGGAAGCATTTCTTTAAAGAAAATATTGCAGGAAATGAGATACCAAATAGTAGCACTTTCCATAAGTGGAGAGGAAAAAAATTTTATTTGAGTACCTTGGCTTTTAATTAGGTAGTCAGACACACCTTTAAAAGAGCTTGATTCTTGTGAAGTGAAAAGCTAAGTATCTATGAAGAAAAAGGCGGGGTGGGGAAAACAACCTCTAACAAAACACAAATCTCATGAAGATACCATTCCCAAAATTCTGAAGTTTAAGACCAGTAATAATTTTTACATTTATCACAAACAGTAATATTTATAAGTCATTTATACATTCAGACAAAATGATTTGTTCAATGCCACACAAAGTATGACAGTATTAAAATATTAGCATATAAGTTGGGAATTCTTGAATCATGATCCTAAAACCTACGAATAACACACACCACCAAATTTATGCCCAGTTTACCATGGAAGAAACAGCTGGGATAGTTTAAGGTAGGTCAGGTAATAGCTTTGTAATGAAGCAGGTAATCAATTAGGCCAGTTCTGCTATAGGGACAGTAATGTCCAAACCACTGAAGTTATACCATAAGCAAGCGCTGTAGCCTTAGATAACATATAATTTGTTACAAGTCACAATGCAAGCATCTTGCTTAAAAGGAAGCATTCTGAAAAGAACTCTTGCAGTTTCATTATAGGCTGGTAGAAGTCCACTGCCTTCTATTGTTTTTGTTTTTCCAAAAGGACATACTCTAGTTTTTTTGTTACATTTGCAACATTATTCTCCTGTAAGTTATGCCAATTATCTGCAGTATTCACCTTATTTTTCCAGGAAAGTTTAGAGGTGCTTGCCTATATTAGACACCATCCACTCCAATAGGAAAAGTAAGTCTTTCAGGATGCCCTCTAGGACTCCTAATGGATTTTTAAAATTTTGACAACACGGTTTTGTGAAACATGGGATAATTAGAAAGGAAAAAAGTATGAGAAGACTAGGACAAAAGGAATAACCTCAGTCATATATTGTAAAATTCTGGGCAAAAATTTAATCCATTATAAAAAATGTCTATATTAAATGACGAATGATGGATCTTAATAGTAATTTCTTCATGGTATTATTTTTAGCATCCAAAATGTAAAGTAAAAAGATTAAAGTAACTCTGATCCAAAAAACCAGTTCCTGTTCCTCTAGCTGACCTTAACATTAGCAATGAATGAAAAAAACAAAACAAAAAAAACCCAAAACAAAACAAAAAACCAACAACCCTGCAAAATAGCATTATTCTACAAGCTGATTATTTCCTAAAAAGGTGTGCTGGTTTTGGCTGGGATAGAGTTAATTTTCTTCATAGTAGCTTGTATGGTGCTGTTTTGGATTTGTGATGAAAACAGCGTTGATAACACAGGGATGTTTTAGTTATTGCTAAACAGTGCTTACACAGAGTCAAGGCCTTTTCTGCTTCTAGAAATATATGAAAGTCAAATAATTCTTTAAAAATGAAAGAAATTCCACTGTAAGTCAAAAAAATCAAGGAAGTATCTATAGAAACATGTCAAAACCAGAAGAGTTTGTTTTAAACAAACTGTACTCTTTTGCTGATTGAAGAGTATCCCTTTAAGAAAAAAACTTACATTCTAAAGCATGGTACAGTAGCTCAAAGTCTTCTTTTGTTTTAGGGTTCAGTCTTCGTTCGTGCTCCCTTCTCATTTTTTCTTCTTTCTCTTTTTTTCTCCGTAACTCGTCTTGTGCCTCCCATGCCAGCCTTAACCTCTTTTCTTCCCTCAGATTTTGTACTACATTTATAGCATGCCAACGACGGAAATATGTCTGTAATACTATTACCTATATGTGATACAATACCAAAGAATCAGGAATTTAAAACAATATAGCATAATTTTTTTTTTTGTTGACTGTTATTTTTTCTAGCTACTTAACTACATTTTCTAACATTTGTCTTGTACTCAAACTAATTTAAATGTTACAAAACCAGTCATGTACTATTAGTCCAAACACTGGTATGGTTATTTATTTAGGTAACTGCAGGAGTTTAATCAGTGAGTACAGTCGAGAAACTAGGTTCAAATAATCAAGTTAAAGTATAAACTGCAATTACAAAGTCTATTTTTCTTTTTCAAATCTCTCCTGAAAAAATGCCTTTTGCCATGCATTGTTTTTATTCTTTTCTCTTCAGCATTGTGGGCAGAGGTCCTCATTTTACTATCCATTTATATAGTGTCTAGATTGGGAATTTAGACACATATTTGCAAAATTTCTTTCAAATTTCTAAATACAAAAATCAACACACATACACACAAAATCAATTGCACTTTATTTATTAAAAAAAGAAGTTAAATTACCAATGCTGTTATGACAGAACTTAAAACAGAAAATTAAAAAATCCACCTTCCAAAACTGTGGTCATTATAGACTAGGGAAATATCTATACTAAGTTAAGGGAGCACAACGCACGAGGCTGAGCTTTTGCCAGCTGAGTTAGCATTTGCACCACAAGCAGTTTAGCCAGGTGAATACCATGAACTAATTAGTATTGTTCAACATTGAAGGCTGTCAAGCACAAAACCACATTAATACAGTTATACTGTCTCTAGAGACATCTTAACCTAACATTTCTCTTGAATATGTCTTCAGCTAGTATTTCAATATAGAACTGCACTGCACTGTGCAAATCCATCAACTTGAACCAACACCAAGCTGATGTCTCTCTACCGTGCATCATAGATTACCTACAGATGCATTACAGATTTCAGTAAGTGGCAGTAATGATCAGAGTAAAACATATTGGCAGTCCTGAGAAAGTGGCTACCTATTTGGGTTCCACTTCTACAAGATGCTTATTGCCATCAGCTGATGCTGACCAAATAAGTTCTTACAGAAAACTTCTACCCACAAGATTTCAAAGCATCTTGCCAACCATGTCAATACAATTATCCTACTTTGACACGTGGGGAACCAACGGTTTCTCCATTTAGTTAGATTCAGACTGTCTATTTTAAGCAATCAAATTAACAACTAGACCATTTACAAAGCAGTGCCCCGCCTAACATGATGCTGGGTGTACTTAAGTTAGGCGTGCAGTCACTGAATATGTGGTTTTCAAAAAGCAATTTGGAATGCATAAATGGCATCTTCTGCTCAATGACTATACAGAATCTGTCATCAGAATCGCCTACATGAGGCGATTCAGAGCACCAAAAAACTCCACAGGCCCTTTGCATGTGTTTGGACAGCCAGGTTCTACCTTAATGCCAAAGCAGGAGCTTGAACACAATCCAAAACAGAACAGTATGCCAAAGATAACCTGTCAGGCCTGTTAAAACAAATAAACAAACCCAAAACCCACAAAACTCATAAGCTGAATGCAGGTCTCCTAAATCCTAACCCAATACTCTATCCATTTGAGGCCATACATTAAGCATATAGAATCAGAGGATAGTTTGGGTTGGAATTGACCTTTAAAGGTCATCTAGTCCAACCCCCCTGCCATAGGCAGGGACATCTTCAACTAGGTCAGGTTGCTCAGAGCCCCGTCCAAACTGCCCTTGAACGTTTCCCGGGCTGGGGCATCTACCTCCTCTCTGGGCAACTTCTTCCAGTGTTTCACCACCCTCATTGTAAAAAATTTCCTCCTTGTATCTAGTCTCTAGATTAGGTCCTTCTAAAGAGACCATGAGAATGCCATAGGGACAAGCCTATTTTAATCCCTAACGCTCTATACAGAAGCTTAATTGTCACTGTAAGACAGAAACCAGTAAAATCACAATTCTTAATATTTAAGAAACCACAAGGTCTCAAATGTCATTAAAAACACTAATATGGTAAATGAGCAGACACATGCTTCCCCCGTATCTGAAGGATTACAAAATGTGAAGATTAAACAGACATTTTCCAGTTCACTGTTAAATTCACTCTTTGAACACTCTGAACACTCATTAAATATTCAGATATTACTTCATAATACAGTTTCAAACAGATGAGAACTTACTGCTTCAAGTCTACGTTTATGGTATTCTTCCGCTGTAAGATACTTTCCAGGACTTAATAGTTTGTCAGCCATATTTGACACATACAGGCCAGTTTTAGTCATCTGTGTTGATGTTGTATTTTTTGTCTGTTGTGGCCTATTTTTTTCAAAAACCGTCTGGGGAAAAAAATGCATGTCAGATTATAACAAAATATACAGAGATTTTTTTCCTCATTACAATAAGTGGCAAAATTAGCTATTATAACAAAACTCACAAGACTAATGATACTAATCCACTAAATACTTTCAATTGCACACTTATTTCTGATCTACTTCCTCATTCCTATTGGAAATAATTGTGTCAACATTCTATTCTCTTTGCCAAAAACAACATTCTAAAAAGACACTACAAAGGCATTACCTGTGTTTCCCTATTTAATTCCTTTGTCAGGTCGGTTTTTGGGTACCGTTTGTGATCCTGCATTATGAAATTCCACTCCTGTTATCCTGTTCTTATATCCACCCAGAAATGGTTTATGATAGGTAGGTCTTTCAATTTTTACAACTACATCTTGGAATGAATCAGAACCTGTTAAAATGGAAGTTTCAAGATAGAAATATTGTTTCTTTCTGTAACAGATTGAGATTAAAGCACGATTATATATATTGATACATATTTAAAAACAGCATTTACCTGTTTGTACTCTGACAGTTACGACATCAGGCATGTGGTAATCCTGTTGAACTGCTTTCCCAGGCAAATGCTCCTGATCAAGACATAACTTCTCAGACTGGATAGTTTCATCAAAGTTAGCCCTAGTCCTCCTAAGAGCTTCATTGCCCTCACTCATGCTTCCTAAAATTAAAACCAAAATTAATTCCTAATATGCTTCTCAAAACAAACAAATAAATAAAATAACTCAAGTTTACCCTGAGATGATTTTATTGAAACACTGCAACGCAGAATAACCATAGATTTTTGAGCTGGAAAGACAGTCTACTTTAAAGCTGAAACAGTATTACACACTTTTTAAAGAGCTATCCGACGTAATACTGTCAGCACATGAAAAGTCATTCATACTCAGGTGTGCTCTCAGATGATGCGCTGAATGGGGCATCTGGCTCAAATACATCTTGGTCGTTACTTCCGATCACTTCTTGATTGCCTAGTCCTTTGCTGGGTAATTCCCACTGTGCTAAACTTGACTGCTCCCGTTTCTCCAGAGCCGACTGCTCCAGAGAGAACTGCTGCTGACCGCCCTCCTCTGACTGCCCAGTGCCTGGAGCTTCTGAAAGCAGAGGCCTCTCTGCTGGGTCCCTGTCCTCGGCCTCTCCGACTGCTCTTCTTTCTGAGGATGCAGAGGGCTGCTGTGCACCTGACCTTTCCATGATAACAACTTCAAAGCAACTGTCCAACGTATCTTCCATTTCCTAAAGTATCAGTTGCATGTTTTTAACCTTTCTGCAAGAATAATCCCAGTATCTATTTAAAGTTGCATCCTAGCACATTTCTACTACCAAACATATGGGTGACTTAATAACCTGAAAAGCTTTTTCTGTATCTATTCCCAAACAGCCTATTTAGAATAGGTCTTCTCTTGCACCAAACGCAAAACACTTAACACCTCCTCACTGGTGTTTAACAAACATAATACTCCACAGCATTGCCAGCAGGTAGTCAGCATAATTCTTTATATCTATCTATACATATACATAGCAGGACTTTACGGAGCGGTGCTCCCGCAGACAGCACGCCTTTGAGCTCTGCCGCGCCGCCACCGAAATGTCGTGGGCCGGAAAAATCCAAATCCCACAGCCATGAAAAACCCCCACGGCAAACGGTTGGAAGCTCCGGCAGGACCCGGCAAACGGGCGGTTCCCGCCCGGCAGGGCCGCTCCCCCGCCC